ATACATTATTTATTTTGGGATGGTGGCTTGCCTTGTTTCTCAATTATATGTTGAAGTCGTTGGACCTGCTATTTGTCCTTTCTCCTTTCCAATTACCTATTAATAGAACTGATAACGTTTCCTATTTAAACAAAATGATAATGATAAAACAAATTTAAGGATGCATGTAAATTGTTTGATGAAACTTAACAGGCAAATCTATACTTGGGTTAAGTAAATCAGGGCTCCTCTCTCTGTGCTTGTTATTATTTATTATTATATTCCTCGTGTTTATTATTTGACAGGATGTTAGCATTAAGCTAGAAGAGCAAAAGGATGAATGCCTTGCCCAGCTGAAAGAGAATGAAACGTAAGATGAAGTTCATTTTATGCTCAAATAGTTAAAATAGACAAGTATTTTTGTTTTTGCTTCTAAATTGTGTGAAGGCTAACCTTGAATACCGTGTACCATTTTCTAAAAGTGCATGCCATGCTACCATTTTCTAAAAGTAAAAATGGTGTTCGATATTATCTTTAGGAAGTACTTTGCCTCAATACCTTTTTTTAAAAAAAATAAGGGACGCATCTTCCATAATACTGAGAATTGTAGAGGTGTCTATAAAAACTGAACTGCTTGAGAGAATCTTTGTAGACTCAAAGGACCAAATGCCCCGATCTCTTTGCCGATGGTGTAAACGATGGGTAGAGGATCTGGGATAACAACAATAGCTCTTCTAAGTTTGCATACATACCCAACCATTCGAGTGATCCCCAAACTTGCCAAAAATCTTGTGCTACAGGGCTCTAGACTGGCAGAACCATTTGTTCATAAGAGCAACATTCTTATAGTCATTTGATAATTTCTCCTCCCTTGTCCATGGACCTCTCCTTGTACTTATCTTTGAGCAATTAGTATACTTTAGTTTCTTAAGTAAACAATATCAATATGTTAGATTTTCCCATTAAAACGTTATTTGAATAGTTAATTGAGGACTTGAATTATAAAAATGACATTTCTTTCTTTTGGTTCTCCAAAATTTTTGTATATCTCCAGCTTAAGGAATAAACTGAAGCAACTTATTGATCAGTTTGCTTTTTCCGAACAACAATTTGCACAGAAGGTAAAGTTTACTCTTCTGTGGCTGAAGTCAGTACACCTTGCATGTTTAACTATTTATTTTGTGGGGCTAAATTGATTCATAATGTTTTGTACATGATCAAACAGTTGAAGCAGAAAACACTAGAACTTCAGATTGCTGATCTGAAAACTAAGCAATGTGAGGAGAAATTGATTCAGGAACAATCTCAAATGAAATCATATGCAGAGCAAATTTCACAATTATTGGCAACAGAAAAAAATCTGCGTTTACAACTAACAGCTGATGGAGAAAAGTTTCAACAATTCCAAGTAGGGCTTGAGTTTGGTAGTGATCTTTTAAATTAATTTAGAAACATATTTCATATAAATGAATTTTTTCTAATGATATTACGTTACGTCATTTATGGAATGACTTACCAAGTTAACCTAAGCTTAGTTTATGTACTGATTAATGTTACAGGATGCATTATTAAAAAGCAATGAGGTATTTGAAACCTTCAAACAAGAAATTGAGAAGGTAAACTCTTCTTCCCCCACTCACCTCTCTCTCTCTCTCTCGAAAGAGGGGTAAAGGTCCCCAAAGGCTTTCTTGTTGCACGATACACTTGATTAAACTACTATCTACTTGTGCTCTTCTCTCCTCAATTGTTTAGTCTGTCTCTCTTTCTATGTATATAGATGACAAAATCCATCAAGGAACTCAAGAAGGAAAATTCATTCTTGAAGAGCAAATGTGAGAAATCAGACGTTACTCTTATTGAGCTTCTTGATGAGGTATACCTACACTTGCTATAATTTTATTGTATATTTGTTTGGCAACATCAAACAGTAATTCCTTGTTTCAAAAACAGTTGTTTGTCTCTATTTAAAAAAAATACTTAAAAAAAATATGGTTGGGTGGCTGGTAGAGATTAAAGTGAGTATGCACCTGAAAATACTATTAATCGCAAGTTCGTGATTTAGGAAGAAAAATGGCATTAGCTCTAAAGTACGAGACGAGCTACTTTAAAAGAAAAAGCATTTAAAAGATAACTATCCAAATAAATGTTTGTTGTATTATTGTTCTTAAAAGTAAATGGGACCTGACCATTTTGCAAACAAACCTTACGCTTCATCTTATGCTTGTTTTGCTTTCATCTTAATTTATGCAGATATAAACTCAATATCATAAATGCATGTACCTTATTGCCTTATTGAGTGGGCATGTTGCCATTTCTGGAAACCGCATGTCACATTGTTATTCCAGTAGTTTCATCCGTAGTTATTTGTGTTAATTTAAGTATAACTCATTAAGCGCTAATAATCTTTTTTAAAGTTTGCATATTTGAATCGCTAATAATCTGTTTTAAAGATACATATTTGAATCTCTACTGTCTTTAGTTTGAACTATAACAAATTCAGACATTTGTCATTGACTTTCACTATTCATTAGTCAAATGATGTGCTTCACATAGCTGTACAACAGGCTAGAGTCAGATTTATGTGAACTAAATCACTATGTAGACTAGGCTCTCGCTGTCCTAAGCGGTATTTTGGAAGGCACCGTGAGGCGTGTGCGTAGGTCTAGCGCCTTGCCTTTACGGTTTTTTCTTCTTTATTAGTTAAAAACTAGAACCATGCTGTTTCTTCCTTATGTATGTTCATATATATAGTGCATCTCACAAAAAAAAAAAACGGTATGCACTTTTTTTGGCGCATTGCACCTATTATGTCTCTGGAGGCGCTATTGCACCTTAGAGCTTTAGAAAACTTTGGTCCTGCATTTTAAGTGCACTTAAGAGCTTAATCAGTCTTTACATTACTGTAGTATTGTATTTTGAGTTGAATTCTGGTTGAGCAGCGGGAAGGCTTGAAGAAACAGCTGGAGAAAACCAAGAATCAGAAAGAAAAGCTTGAATCGTTGTGTCGATCGCTTCAGGCCGAAAGGAAACAAAGTTCCATGGGAAGCAACAGCTCTGATTCAACTTCAGTGTGAAGCCTTAACTTATTCTGTTAAAATATGAAATTTCCTGAGAGGATTTCAATACATAACTCTTACAATATGCAACTTGACTGTCTTCAAGCTGAGGAAATAGTTATTTTGTGATTTTAAGATTACCATGTCCATGTCCATTGCTGTCAGCTTTTCTAGGATTAAAACTGATTTTCGTTGCCAAAGAAAGAACTCTTGTTTCCAATGATCACTGGATAGTTATTATTTGCTATTTTTTCGCATAACCTCCCCTACAGTATCGTCACCGTAGTAGAATTTAATCACCAAGTTCGAGATGGATTGGTGTGGTGCTATGAACCATCCTGAAAAAGAGGGGTGCCTTCGAGAACACGAACACGTGGTGCATAGTTGTCGTCAGCTCATGTTGTAAGGTATTGGGTTAAGCCCAACAGCCTACCAATGCATAAATGTTCCGATTTCGATTTGAGCGCAACTTTTTTAAATCGTGTTGTAAGGTATTGGGTTAAGCCCAACAACCTACCAATGCATAAATGTTCCGATTCCGATTTGAGCGCAACTTTTTTAAAGATAAATTAGATGTTTTTAGACTATGATTTTCAAAGCTTTTAATTAGCAAATTAACGGATTAAGACCTTTAGACTTTGGACTCACTTTTTTAATCATAGGATAATGAAAGAATAAATGAAACTTGCAAATTTGACTCTACAGTCATTTCTTATATGGAATATAGAAGCGATGTCAAGATATCGACATTCATTCGTTGTTTTCAATATACTTCCTTATAAGATGATTTACTAACTGATTTTATAACTATTCGATTTTTGAAAATTGTACTCTGTTTTTTTGTCCTTTCCCTATATTCAGTTTCATCCTTTATTTAAAAAAAAACATATAAAATTTTAGAAACAAAAATTTGAAAATCATGTCTAAATTAAACTCATAATTAATAATATATAATATTAAATATGAAAAAAAAGGCCACATATTTAAAATTTATAAACATAATTAAAATATATAATCTTAAGAAATTAAACTCATAATTAATAATATATATTATTTAATATGAAAAAAAGGCCACATATTTAAAATTTATAAACATAATTAAAATATATAATCTTAAGAAATTAAACTCATAATTAATAATATATATTATTTAATATGAAAAAAAGGCCACATATTTAAAATTTATAAACATAATTATAATATATAATCTTAAGAAATTAAACTCATAATTAATAATATATATTATTTAATATGAAAAAAAAGGCCACATATTTAAAATTTATAAACATAATTAAAATATATAATCTTAAGAAATTAAACTCATAATTAATAATATATATTATTTAATATGAAAAAAAGGCCACATATTTAAAATTTATAAACATAATTATAATATATAATCTTAAAAAATTAAACTCATAATTAATAATATATATTATTTAATATGAAAAAAAAGGCCACATATTTAAAATTTATAAACATAATTATAATATATAATCTTAAGAAATTAAACTCATAATTAATAATATATATTATTTAATATGAAAAAAAAGGCCACATATTTAAAATTTATAAACATAATTAAAATATATAATCTTAAGAAATTAAACTCATAATTAATAATATATATTATTTAATATGAAAAAAAAAAAAGCCACATATTTAAAATTTATAAACATAATTAAAATATATAATGAAATTAAACTCATAATTAATAATATAAATATGAAAAAAAAGGCCACATATTTAAAATTGTAAACATAATTAAAAATATATAATCTTAAGAAATTAAACTCATAATTAATAATATATATTATTTAATAAGCAAAAAGAAAAAAAGAAAAAAGCCAGGTGTGGCATATTGAGGTGGACCCCACTCTCCGGGCTTCCGGCATTGCAATTCGTCCATATAATCCAAATCTTGGAACCGAGGTTAGTTACGGAAAATGCCTTTCTAACCAAAACCGTTTGTCCCATTTCCTTTCAATTTTTTTCACTTCCGTAGACGTATCATTGCTTTCCTTCTTCTTCTTCTTCTTCCTGTTCTCTCTTCTGCAATGGACGGCGACGACAAACCCATCGACCGTGGCAGTTCCAGAAAACTCCACAGCAATAGCAGCACCGCCGCCGGAACCGACTTCTTGGAGACGAACAAGGCGGACAGAGCAATGTGGCTATTGAAATGCCCGCAAGTTGTAACTCGCGCCCTTTCCAATTCGCCGGATGATCCTTCTCGTCCGGTCGCTAAGGTCATTGTTTCTGTTGATCCTCTGCAGTCGAATGACGACGATGATTCTTCATCTACTGAGGTATATAACGTCATCTTGCTATGGCGTTTTTGGTTTTGGATTGGGGGCTCTCTTCTTACTGTATTGTGTGATTTCTTCCGTTTCTTACTTTCTTTTGCATGTTTTCCATTTTAGATTGCCTTGTTCATTGCTTCTTGTTTTCATACTGTCTTTATCTTAGGGCTTTCTGTTTGCTTCTGTGCATGCATTTGCCGTTCTTTTAGTTTATAATTTGTTTTCATTGATTACTCAGTTTAATCTTTTTGTTCCTTCCTTATAGTTTAATCTTTTTGTTCCTTCCTTATTTCACTGATTACGGAAACTTTTATTCTTTGTTAAAGTTTCATTGCCGGGTGGTTAGCCTAAATTGCTTTCTCACTGTTACGTTCTCGTGATGCTTTCTGTGAATGGGGTCCTTCTGGTTTACATGCTTGGTTTCCTAACAATCATATGTATTTAATTTGAACTGTGATTTTTAGAACACAGGGGATCAGGAATCTATGGAGATTGGTAAAAATAAAGTAATTTAGTGGTAGTGTTTTATCACTTTCTACTGACTAAAGGATTTGTACGGGATGTTGTTGGTTATCACTGTTGGTCCCCATTTTCTCGTGTTTAACCCGCCCTGAGCCCATGACTGAATTGTTTGGGTCCATGCTTTCCGTCACAAATCTTCCTTGTCTTTTCTTCCATATTTTTTCTAGCCACACTTTTATGTCTATAGTGCCTGGTGATGAGGCAAAGGGTCCAATGTGTTTCCAAATTAAAAACTTCAAATGTTTCCCAACACCGACCTTGTATTCCTAAAATTATTTGTTGACTAATAACAAGTTGTGACTTTTTGATTCAAATTCAACTTTATGTAAGTTCTACAAGTTTTCTCACAACCAGATGTTATAGGCTCATGTGATTGTCCCATAAACTTAGTTGAGATGTTTGTAAGTAGACATGGTTGATGTGCAAGTATCAGAGAACATAATATCTAAATGAGTAACAATAGAATCTTTAGATTGTGAAATGCTATGTGTTCCCAAACTATGTCACTGTTTAGAATTTATTTAGAGCTTTGAATTGGTGAGCGAATTTTTTGCTGTTGATCTCTGGTTTATTAGCGTGTTAGATAAGAAGATGCTCTGTGTAATTGTTGTGACTTGTACATGGTTTTAGCTAAAAATTACTAGACCTTCGGTTTGGTCGTGTGCAAGGAGGCTCAGGTACCTTTTAGTAAGAAAATAGTTTTTTTCATCACAATTTGACTAAGTTTACCATAATACTATGACAGATTACCTATTTGTAATGCTAGCCATGTCATGTTAATGACTTTCTCTTTGCTTTTAAATTATTTTCTTGCAAGGCACATTTCCAAGATAGTTCTTAGTTATTTCTCCTTTAATAAATTGTAGAGTTATTTGTCATAGAAGATGAATACTTTATCCATGAAGTGAAAACTAATCCATATGTTGCTGAGAGCGCCTTTCAGGGCTTTGGCCTTCCAATTGTGATACAATATTTTACTACAATTATCTCTAAAGAATGTTTACTCACAGCTCCTGTAATGGTTCTATTATTATTATTATTATTTTTAATAACTCAAGCACACCAAGGTACAACCTATAGGAACAATCTTATTCCAATAAGGTCGTCGTAATGGTTCTATTATTCGTCCTAACAGACTGTCGATTTACTTACCTTTTTAACCCTTGTAGATTTTCTTACTTCTAAATGCAAGAAACTTTATCTGTTATATCAAAGTTGGGCTTAAGTTTTTTTTTTCTCAAGCAAGGGTACTTACACTGGTTATTAGTTATACTAGAAGTGAAATTAGAGATTAATTATATCAGCATCTGTTTGCTTTATTTCTTCAGCTTACAATGCCTCTATGATTTTAGTTTACCATGGAATTGGCTGACACCGACTCTGGAAAAGCATTAAGGGCCTACTCATTGAATATGTCCACAGATTTCATTCCGATGTCTGTATTTTCTGAGTCAGCACAAGGTTGGTTTATGTCGCTCTGGCCTGCTTATTAAAAACTGACCGATGAATATGATGCCTTCAAATGTTTACTTGTCAGTTGGATGAATTATTACTCTAATTATGATATGAGATTCAATTGATATAATTTGTTCTACTGTTATTGGCATCTTCATTAATCTTGGATGTGAATATCTATTTTTATTTACTTTAGACTATATGTGTGCCAGTAATTATTTTCAAAATTGTCTATTCAATATTAATTTTATAGTAGTAAACATCATGAGTTTGATCGTCAGCAATGGTTGAATTGTTGCTATTATCTCTTTCAAATATATTTGCATTAGGAAGCTTTCTAAAATTCCTAGGTTTGGGCGTGAGAGATATCTCAATTCGCTTCGTGCTGGTTATTTATATAGTGTGTCCATTGTTAAAAAAGAAAAAGAAAATGTTACAATGTGGGAGTTAGTATGAGAGACAGTTTCTTTAGATGAATCTGACTACAACAAGTTCATTAGGCTTCTGTTGTACTTCCCAATTAGGTGAGATGAAGCTTGTGTGCTTATAGTTCCTTCCAAGTTCCGTCCCTTTCTGTGTCCTTTCTCTCATCAATCCTCTTTAATTCCTTTTCTGTCCAACATCTGGTGTATTGAGATGGGGTAGTTGATCTCGATGCACATATTTTATCTGATGAAAAATTAAAACATGTTTTCAGCAGTGAGAGATGGAGTAAATGATCTCAAAGCACTTGTTGATCAAATTCTGCAGAAAAGATTTGTCTTTGCATACGAACAGGGTTCTTAAGTATTTTCTGTCTTGACATTTATATGTTCGTTCCAGCTTTTTACATTGAGATTCTGTAATGTTAGCAGAGGAGATTTACATTGATTGAGTTATAGTATAGAGAACTTCTATTCAAATTTCCACCATCTTGATCTTTATCTTCAAATTTCTGCTTATTTACTGGACAAACAAATAAAACTGATAAGTTCTGTGTGCTATAGAGACTTCAAGAAATCTAGAGCAGCTATAACTTCTATTTTTCATCTTGAAATATTGAAATTCTCTGTGTACAAAGACTTTCAGAAATTTATAGCAGCTATAACTTTTTTTTATTCTTTGAACTTATTCAACATTATTTTAGATCATTACTACAGAATATCTGCCTGATGGTATCAATTCTTCTTTCAATTTAGGGAAGTTTACTGTTGAAGGAAAAATACTGAACAAATTTGACATGAAGCCGCATGATCAAAATCTTGATAGTTACGGGAAACTCTGTCGTGAAAGAACTCACAAGTCTATGACCAAAAGCAGACAGATTCAGGTCTCCTTTGTAACTTTCTATGCAGCGTACCTGGGTGTTGGGTTATTTCTTTTATGATCTTAGTTCAAATTTCCAAATATTCCATACAGGTGATTGATCATGTCACAGGAGGACATATGAGGCCAATGCCAGGGATGGACGTGTTGTCATTTGGAGCTGCAGTACTTATACTACTTTCTTTTCTACATTGTTCCATATATTCTCATTGTCAATTTCAATTTTGATTTTGCTCGCTGTTTCGCTCGTAGTCAGGCGGAAGCTTGTTCAAATGCTTCCAAGAATTATTTTTTACTCTTTGTGTGAACAAATGTGATACAGGAGAAGAAGAAGGTGGTGAGCAAGGGATCGGAAAATAAGAGGCTGAGGAAGGAGCGTGGCGAATTGGAGAAGATCATTTTTAGGCTCTTTGAAAGACAGCCATATTGGACCTCGAAACAATTGATTCAAGAGACCGATCAACCTGAAGTAAGCTTTATCTTGAATTTGCACACCCATCTAGTACTAAGTTTGCGCCTATAGTTTATCACCTGGTTTTTACCTCATCGAAATGAATCATTTGTGTTTTTTCCTTGTGCATCATTTCAGAGCATGTTTATAAATATACATTAATCTGTCAACAATCGATTTAGAGACAACCATATTGGATAGACAACCAATATGAAAATTTGTCAACTACAAGTTCATCTTTACTCTCTTTGAAAGACCACCATATTGGACATCAAAACAGTTGTTTCGAGAGACCGATCGACCTGAAATAAGATTTATCTTGAATTGGCACACCTCATGATCTGATTTTTGCAGCAATATATGAAAGAAATCCTTAAAGATCTCTGTGTCTACAACAACAAGGGTGTTCACCAAGGAACATATGAGCTGAAGCCAGAGTACAAGGAAACATGTGAGGAAACGAAACCGCGGTAGGTCGGTTGGTTCAATGATTTTGGTATTTGACTGTCTATTTAGTGCAAGATTTGTGTGTTTTCCTTGGTGTTTCTTTTAGTATAGTATAGGATAGGCTTGTAGGTGATTATTTCGTATTGTCGAATTTGTAGAACTCATTAGTGTAAGCACTGGAGTTTTGTAGAGATGTGAATCTATCCATCATCAGTTTCCTGGTTGCTTTCATCTGTACATAGTGATGGCAGTTAGTTGCTTTTGATCACAGCTTTTGTTAAAAACTTCTTTTGTTATTTGTATGGATTCAGTTTCTTCTTAAACTCGAACTCATAGGATTTCATCTTATTTCTATTTACTTTCTTTTTTATAAAAAATTATTTTGACTTCTTAGGTACCCGAAAACCGACATGTCGTTTTTTAAAAGAAAAATAATTTTGAATTTCAAGTATAAAAATGGTTTAACATTGTGTGATTATTATTATTTTTAACCAAATTTAATTGCCCATTTTCAGTATAATTTTGTAGATAAAACATTAAATTATACTAAAAAATTAATCTAGATTCAACTATACTTTTATAAAAATTTTAGAAATTATTTATTATCTATCTCTGTTATAGAATATATAGTCAATTTGTGCACAACGTTCTTATATAATAAATATTGAATTATTTTTATTTTGAATAAAAAAAAAGTAAAGGTAAAGGGAGGGAAATAAAAAAAGGAAGAAAAAAATCTCCAAAGTTGAGAAATAATAGGAAAGTAAATGAGAGGGAGGAATAATTAATAAATTAAATTAAATTAAATTAAACAAAAAGGAAGTGAAACAGATTAAAGTTCAGCATTCCCTTATTTACTTCTATCTTTTGAATTCAAATAAATAAATAAATATAAAAATATTATTTTGATTATGTAATTTTTATTATATTTTTGTCTTTATATTTTCAATAAATTTTAATATATTTTAGTCTTTTTATTTTCAAATTATTTTAAAGTTAGTAAAAAATTAATATGGAGTGTTTTCTTTCATATAATAGAAAAAACAATAATTAACCTAATAATAATAATTGAAAGAAAAAGAAAAAAAAAAAAAAGAGAGGGAGACCAGGGGGGAGTACTTCCAAGTTCAGGCTGGGCAGAGGAAGAGTTGCATTTAAAGCGCGTGAAGCGCGTGGCGCGTGGGCCCACAATGAGGGAACCTAAGCCCATTTCGGCAGCAAGAAAAAAACAGAGGCAGCTGCAAAGCGTTGACCAAAATAAGGTCGCGGATGCCCGCCATACGCCACGCCTCTTTCCCAAAATTTCCCAATTAAAATTACCAATTTCTCCCTCCCTCTTTCAGAACTCCAACCAAGGCGTGTGTCTTGCACGGCGTCGTTTCATCTCTCTCTCTCTCTCTCTCTCCGCTCTGTTCTGCAACAAAAACGAAAAACAAAAATCGAAAGCATTTCTCTTTTCTACTCCATCTCTGCCTTCACCTACCTATTATCCCTTCTCCGATCCTCTCCTCTTCCTCTCTCTCTCTCTGATCTCCAGGTACGATTCTGCATTCCTTTTTCTTCTGTTGTTTCCGATCTGGCTTTGCATCGTGTTTTTAATTTCTGTTTTTAATTGCGTTCTCAATTTTCGTTCGTTTCTTTTTTGTTGTAATTGTTGGAGTTTTTGTGCGATCTGACTTGCTAGACGTACATCTGCTTCTTACGAGCTCAATACATTCGAATTGTTTCGGATTTGTGTTTTAGTTTTGTATTTTCAGGATCCGTTAGCTATGGATTCAGTTCAGAGTTGGTTGTTGTGGAATTTTTTCGCATATAGCCTTAATTGAATGACAATTTTGCTCAAAGTGTTGATCGAGTTGATTGAAAAAACAACCGGTTTTGTTAGTTGTGTCTAGAATTGCTTGCATATCCTTGTTTTCAACTACTGCGTGTTGTTGCATCTCCTGCATATTGAAGTGGTTTTAGTGATTAGGGCCTCTAGATGAATTGGGAAGATTCTTTTAGGAGAAAAGCTAATTCCTAGTTCATTTTACTTTGGTTGACTTTTCTTCGTGAAAATTGGCTTTAAGCAGTCGTATGGTTTTGGGGCTCTTATGCTTGAATTGAAAAGAAAAACCTTCATGCTATGGATATTGTTTCTTTGTGTACTCTTCTTCTATATAAATATATACCGATTCTGTTGTAAAAAACTTATGGTGACCATTCCATCTTTGAGTATGTTAGGTTATTGAAGGTAGAAATGGATAATTTCCTTGGAGGCTTTACAGAGGATATCCAAAGATGCCCATTCTTGAGGAATATTAATGAGCCGACTCATTTCTCATTTTCCTCGTCCATGGCATTCCCCATGCCTGTAAGTTTTTTCTTTCTATAATTTTGTGTTTGAATTTGTACAAATGAATTAATTCAACTCGTTTTGTCCTATAAATTACAACATTGGTCAATGTTCAACTATGGAAAACACTTTAATATCAGATATGCATCTGTATTTCCCTAAAATTATACTAAGGGTTCAACGTAATAGGAATGTAATAATAGTTTTCCTGTCAAAGTTATTCAGTGTTCCATTATTTTTATAACTATTTACAATACTCTACATATATAAATATATAAATATTTGTTTTACAACACTTGACACATGTAAATATTAATTCTAGTTATATATAAATCATTTCTTATAGTTTAGTGTTGCCAGCCCAAGCACTACTTATTCTAGTGTAGATGGTATACGTATACCTGTTTTAGTTTCTGGCTTGTATGACTTAATAGATGAATAAGTGGATACTTTCTTATCACTAGTGACATGGCTGAGGTGAATTAAATGCACTTTTTGTACCTCTGTTAGTTATCCTCTTAGTGTGTTGTTATAACTATTAGCGGTTCGCTCCAGGATTCGAGTGTTATATTTAGTTATTCGACAAAACTTATGATCTTCAATGTAGGTTGTTGTTAGGTCTCCCTCGATGTTCTTGTAACTCAGTTTTGCATATAATTCTGACATTTTTCTGATTTCTAGTTAATCTAATAACTGCTTCTACACTTGTTATAGGTGCGTGGAGCTAAAGGGCCAATTTTTGAAGATGGTCCTAATTTTGATATGGCATTTAGGCTTTTCCATGGTCGAGATGGAGTGGTTCCACTCTCTGGAAGATCTATGCATCCAGAGAGTGTAGAACTCAAACCAGCCCCATCGCAGTTCAATCCTTTAGCTGCAAAAGCTGCCACCATTAGTCTCTCTTCCTTCGGACCTGGAGGTCCCTTCAGCTTTGATTCATTTTCAGACAAGTGGAAAAATCAGAAAAAGAAATTTGAGTCATCCAAGAAAGAGTCTTCTTCAAAGGTGATCAATTGTTAATCTTTGATGGGTTATATCCATTGAGTACTTTGGCTGTTAGGTGAAAAATGATGGAATTCATATGCTAAAGAATATTGTGATCGGAATGGATGAAAATCTGTAGGATGTATGTGATCTTTTCTCTTGACTTATCATTATGTTCATTTTCAGGGTGGAAATTCACATGAAGCTGTGGGTAATGAGTGGCTGCAAATGGGGAACTGCCCAATTGCGAAGTCGTACCGTGCTGTTAGCAATGTCATACCGCTTGTTGCGAAAGCTCTTCAGCCCCCACCAGGCATGAAATTTAGATGTCCACCAGCCGTAGTTGCAGCAAGAGCAGCATTAGCAAAGACTGCATTTGCAAAGAATCTCCGACCCCAACCGTTGCCAGCAAAAGTACTCGCAATCGGTCTACTAGGCATGGCAGCAAATGTACCTTTAGGAATATGGAGAGAACACACCGAAAAATTCTCACCCTCTTGGTTTGCTGCCGTTCATGCAGCTGTTCCATTTATAGCTATGCTGAGGAAATCCATCTTAATGCCGAAGTCAGCAATGGCATTTACAATTGCAGCATCAGTCTTAGGCCAGGTTATCGGCTCAAGGGCAGAGCGATTCCGACTCAAGGCAGTAGCTTCGGAAAAACTAACCCTCCAAGATTCAATCAGCAAATCGACCCCTTTTCCCGTAGTTACTGTGAAAAACGGTCATTGTGGCGACATCGAGAGCTGGAATCCAGTTACCACTCTTCAGGTAGCAGGTCCTCCATCACCAACCAACATACCCTGCTGATCTCTCCTTCACCATTTATTGTGAGTGTTCTTCTCTGTATCCTATTGTGTTTAATTCTCCATTATACACCAGTTTGTTCAAAGTATTTGGCAGTATTTGACAGTTCAAAGTATAAATTGATGAAATAAAAAGTGTCTTTGTGTGTGTATTAAATCCCGGTGGGAATGTTGTTCAATTTTGCTTTGTCATATTTTGGCTCAGAAGGAAGGTGATGAGAAACACAACGTATTATAGAGGAAAGATGGTGAAATGTGAGGAGATGGGAGACTTTGTCATGAATTGAATTCAATATTGTCGGCTAAATCAATCACTATTTTAGTTGACCCAGGAAGGTTGATTTCTTTTGTACTTTTCCTTCAACCTTCCAAAAGTGTTTATGGAAAACTCATGGCAAATGGAGCACAATTTCTGTTTTGCATGTCTGATCTTGAATTGGCGTTTACGACGTTTATGACGTTTTCTCCCTTGTAAAGGCCGAGTCAAGTTGACTTTGTGTTCTCGATGTTTCCTTCTCATCATTTTTCCACTTACTTTTTAGTTAGTTAGCTAACCAAAAGATGATTATCGGTTCAAGGACGCATGGTACCTCTATTTTGAAAACCTCGAACCTATGTTCGAGTTGCAAGTACTACGATACTGAAGTAACTCACGGCCATAAACTTGTCTAAACTTGTCTGTTAATTTATTTTGGATACTCACTGTAATATTCTAAATTCAGTACTTGTAGATATTGTCATTCTTAGACTTTCTCTTCTGGACTTTTCTTCATAGATTTCCACACCCGAAGAATTCGTTCTTCTCTCCAACCAATGTGGGATCTTGCACTCACGAATATTAATAGATATCAATAATCTCTTCCAATTTTTCCTTTTTCAAAAATTCTAAGTCTTTTAAAGCATATTTAAAAAGTGGATAACTATACAACTAAATTCATAGATAAAAATAATATTTATAGATTTAACTTCTAGAAGCTAAAAATGTTACCCTGACAATAGATACCCAATTTTCAATAATGTGTTATTTGATTTGTTATTGGGCAAATTGCATTTTTTAGTAACTTCTAATATTAATTCCAATTTTACCCCTATATGTTTTAATAATAATCATCATCAACCAAGGCGTATTAGATTAAAGTGTTGGTACATAAATAACAAAATAAAAATAAATATATTTTGGGAGATACATAGAAGCCCATTATCACGTTATTTAACTGAGTTTTTATAATTTTAAAAGAAATTAGTTATTAAAATTGGGTCAAATTCGTAAATCATTATATACACTTATATATATTAACAATAAAAGCTAATCTTTTTCATTTTGGATATTGTGTTAGTCTCTTATGCTATGGTTTGGCCAAGTAAAATTTAGTAGAAATTGGTGGATACTGGAGGGGTAAAAAATTGTTACAATTGGTAAAATTTAATCAAATTTAGATTGAAAAGTTCAAAAAAAAAAACTATATAAATTTAACATTCAAGACGGTAAGAATCAACTTCTAATTTTTAAGATAAAATTAAATTAAATTTAAATCATAATATATATTATTTTCTTTTTCTTTTCTTTTTTCTTTTTAATTTTAGTTGAGCAACATTTATAACGAGGATTCGCATCTGACCGCTCTCTCTCTCTCTCTCTCTCTCTCTCTCTCTCTCTCTCTCTATATATATATATATTTCTCGTTGTGTTTATAAATGTAACGATTTTTACCGATTTGACCGAGTCAAGAGATTGTTGAACTTACTTTTCCCTCTTACTCTCCTCTTCAAGACAACGCTACTTCCCGCTCGTGATTCTGCACTGAATTCCTGCATTTCAAGGACCAGCGGCGCGGAATGCATTGCTGGCCAAATTTGTTTCTCGATTTCCACATTCAAGATCAATCCGTATAATGCTCGGAAGGTTCTTTCAGGTTATCGGAATTCCATGGCCAGATCTCAACGACGGCTTGTTCTACAACGATGTCGTTAAGCCCTCCGACTCCGGTTCTCTTTATTTCCGTTCAACTTCGCTTTTCACAGAAGCCATTTCCATTTCATGTTTAGTGATCGCTTCTTCTTTGCGTGATAACTTGTCAGGAAAGTCTTTGATCGAGCTTTATTTTTTTTTGCAAATATAAGATATCGGCTCCACTGGAGGGGTAGGCCTACTCAAACTTTGTCTAGATTATCGGATTTTCTCGTGTTTGATATTTCTCGGATTTTCTCGTGTTTGATATTTCTGATGCTATTGCTGATCGTTAATGAAACTTGTTTTGCATCGATTACTGTTGCAGCGAATTCAGAACGAACAGGTACGGTGGTCTTTAATTTAGGAAATTTATGACTGTTGTGAAAGAGATTGCACTGCTGCACATTATTTGGAACTTGTGTGCGTGCTTGTTTATTTAATTACATTTTATTTTTTTAAAGATGTTTTGAAACAAAATCAATGTGGAAAGTGTAGATAGATCGATGGCCAGGTTGTCACAAACAGTTCTCAGATTATTCACACCGGTCTCTTTACCCCCGATTTTATTAGTTTGTTCAAAAGCTTGCATGATAGCTTGAGTTGTTTTCATATATTACAAGCTTTAGAAGATTTGTTCAAAAGTTGTCTATCGTCGGCTGCCATGGAAAGAATCAGATACTCCGTATTTGCTCGAGATTTTATACGAATACGTCGAAACGGTAAATGCATTTTAACTGGTATTTTTAATCTGTGTTATTGGTTGCTTCCAATTCCCTTGAAGTTGTGAGCCACCAACTATTTTTCAGATTGCATTAAGTAAGCCGTCTTGTTTGCAAGTATTACCTGGCAGCAATGCACAGTTTTGACGCAGCTTCAATGATGGTCAAGGAAGCAGAGTCCCTCTGACTGAAAAGGGTTGCATCCTGTCCCTGTTCATCGCCTGTGAAGGGGAACTTCAGGTTAGGTGACATAAACCCGACGCTGGACGAGATTTCCATGAATATGCAGAAGTTTTATTGTTATGTATTGTCATCGTTTGATATCTGATTGCTTGTTTGCCTATAATCCAGTGTCAAATGAAAATTGTTGAAATCCCAATTTACTAGTTTATATGCACAAGGCAGTTGTGATTGTTGAAATGAAACAAATAATTGAGACTGCAATGGAATGTTGAAGATGTAGTATTAGTGACGAATTTAGAGTGCCTCTTTTAACTTTAGATGTCTCCTTTTCCTATTTGGTCTGCCATTTCGGTAAGAATGTTACTAGCCTCCTAGAATTGTTAAAGAGTATAGAAACATCATCAGTTCATAAGCCTGCTGCTCTGATGCTGGGGAGGGTATCAACGTTATGAAGCCTTGAGGCTATTTCTGTATTTCTACCTCATTTCCCGGTCTAATGAAGCACTATTGCCTAAGAATTAGTTATTCTGCTTCTGCTACTCTCCATTTGATAAATTTGTATAGAAACATTTTCTCCTGGACTATTGTCTACTCTTTGGCACAAGGAATTTCCTCCTTTTCGTAATTCACTAACCAACTATTTAGGAAATGTATTTCATGGTTGTGTTTAGAATGCCTCACCAGTCACCCTTATGCTTCATACACAGTTTGCTGCATATTTTGCTGATGGAACATTTTGCGTTGGGAGAAACAGGTTAGGCAATATAACTTTTTGTAAATTTCTCGTCTTGTCTCTGCATGTTATATATATTCAGAGAATGATTATTTTGTTTGTAGTTTCTATAAGCTGCAGACTTTATTGTCTACAGCCATTTCTAACTAGCCGTCCCGGTTCAACAGATTTAATTTTCACCGTGGTTGAAATCTGTCAAAGTTTTTATTTGCTTATCTATGCTGCTTTGAGTTTTATTCTTATGATACTTAGGTTATGTAATTTAGCTGTAACTTTTTGTTACTACTACTTTATTTTAGAATATAACATGAAGATTCTTCTCAAACATCTGTTAGATGCAGATGCCCTAGCCAGGGGGAAGGAGGCTTTGGATCCTGATATATAGCATATTGCTAAATCACCTAAATAACGATTCAGGACCGCTTGTCTTGCAAACCTAGAAAGATTGATGAATGTGAAATCTGTCTGGTAAACAAATAACAGGTAACAGGCCTCCCCCACCCAGTGTCAGTATCCTGATTTTTGGTAGTAAAGGAAAACAAGAATGAATAAATAATATGAGGAAGTGGCTGGTGACGAAGCAATTATAGATAAAAGGGATAGGTGAGTAATTATTTCAGTCAAGTCCTAAAAAATGCTAGAGAAAGTGCGTCATCTTCTAGGCAAGTATTACAAACTCATACATTGGTGGGGGAAAGCTCTTTCCAAGGGAAACAAGCAGATCCAGTTATTAAATCGATAAGTTTTCACGTATCTGCACGTTTTCATTTTTGAACTTCTGGCTGTTATAATTGCTAATTTTAGAATATAAGTTGCTAGTTTTCAGAAGTTATCTAGCAAAAAATACATTAATACTAGAAAAATGTGATGTAAACATTCTAGAACATCTGAACATATAATATCTTCGACTTTCTTACTGTTTTTTCTTGTCTAAACTATGCAAGGTACAAAGAGGAATTTTAAAAACTTGTAACTTGAATAATTCAAGATGATGAGGTACATCTATTATGACATTTCTGGTTATGGTTAACCTTTTTCATTTCATCCCTTAAACTAGTTTACTGTTCTGAGAGTAATATTAATCCTGCAGTGTTACTTGTTAGATGATATGTCGGAAATTCTATTAGCAAGGGTCATTTGTTCCTCTGAAATTGCATGAAAATAACGTTGAAAATCTTTGAATATGGTTGACGATTTAAATTTCTTGCAAATGGTTGCGGCACTTGCTCTCTGAGTTAGGGTGCAAAATAATTGGAGGTTACATCACTATGTGTGAAAGCTAGTTCTGTTTCTTGTCAGAACGTTTTTTTTTTTTTTCATTTTTTTTTCTGTTAATTGCATATAAATGATTAAGAGCGCTTTCTTTGTAGGTGAGCATTGACCTGCTAATTGGATGGATGCAATACCTGAGGTTGCTCAGGGCCTGTACGTTGCTACTTCCTCAGGTTTTTGCTCGCATCTTATATGCTGATTCAATAAAACTCATGTTTTCTTGAGTGGACAGTGTTGCTACCATAAAAATGTACGTGATAGGGAAAGCAAAAGTCTCTTAAGTTGTTGGCTAAGAAAGTGGAGTGTCATTATTCATGGATTTCTAGATAAATTTTATATGGCCATCACGATCATGATCCTGTTCATGTTTACTTCCATTGTCTATCTGACCGTGTTTCAATAGTTACTAGCTTCAATATTCAATCATGTTTACTTTTTTTGAATTTATAACTTGAGCAGGGAAACCAGCTTTCAGAAAAGTCAATGTTCTTGAGATAGACGAACGAGGAGAACACACTTTGGTCCAGGTATCTTCTTTTGTTGGAAGAACTTCCTGACTACAGTTCTCTGTACATGCTTTTCTATTTAAAATGATTTTTCTGCTGTTATTCACATTTTTGTTAGTTTTACTGTCGCCAAAGTATATGAGTTTCTTTCACTTTTAAGTATGTCCTAAGCATGGGTATACCTTCCGCTAACCCTCACCACGCTTGTTCTGTGAAATACTTAAGGGGATGTACCTCTCCTTTTTATCATTTCTCCTCTACTGATTTCTTTGAAATAGGTCACAGAGGACTTCTTCTGTTTGTTGAGTTGCAATTACATGCCCAAGAGACTTCTGATTGGTAAAGAAAGAGGGAGGGCTTATTCCATTAGGCTTAAAAGGCACCTTATGTATTTACACGTACTGCAACGACCAAACTTTTATAATCTTCGCATTTTCATTTTCTGCTTGTACGTAAAACTACAATTTAATTTTCTGGTGCGATGGGCTTTACTGCCAAGGTCTAAATTCTTCACTATTTTCCAATTATTTTTGGAAGCCATTTAAAGAGAGTTTGCAGCTGGTCTGATAGTGGAAATATTCTTGATAAAGAAAGTGAACTGTGCGATGCACCACAATCCAAAGGGTTTAAATTTCGTCATATATTTTACAGGTGGAAATTCAATCTGGATGACCCCGCCAAATCCGTGTCCATCTTTCTTCAATAGGCATCCTCTATTGGGTAATGCTTCTTTAAAGTTGATCAATTCTTTCAACTTTTAAATTTTTTGGGGGTTCTCATTGCTTGTTTTGCAGATGAACTTTTTTCTAACAACCATTAGTTGACTTGCGTTTTTGTGAGCTCGCAATTTCATCGACTGTGCTGAAAATGCGTTGCTCAAAAAAAAAAAAAAAAAAA